CCCTAGGGCCGGCAATGAAGCTTAGTTGACTTCCCCATGCGTTGGGGATCAAGCTTGCTTCCTTGGGTGGATTGATCCAACGTTCAGGTCTGTCAGGTCCCGTGGTCAGACCAGTTAGAAAGCAGGGAAACGGTGTCAACACACTTGAACTCTTCAGAATCTGGACCCCATATTTCTGGCAATGTGTTCATCACTCGGATCGGAATGAGAATCCCATCCCCTTTTTTCACCCTATGATCAAAGTAAATGAGTATAAGAAGAGAGTTGGCAAATAGAGAGTATACATACCGAATTTCAGATCTGACGTTGCCGTACTTGTCCTCGAATGGCTTTTCGAACGGAATCACGTCGTCCTCCGCCACAACACGCACGGTTTCATTCACGACAGCGTGATACCTTAACGTCTCCCGGACAACCATATCCATATAAGACAACGAATTAAGTTCTTCCATCGTCGGGCGGTCCGTAGGTACCTCGAGTAGCTCTGCCCGGAGCTTGTCTTGGATGGCAGGGTCGCACGCGAGCGAGACGAGTGCCCATGCCGTCGAAGTCGAAGTTGTCTCGTGTCCCGCGATGAAGAAGGTGGGTATCTGGCTCATGACCTCCTCGTCGGACAACCTTCGATCTGTGCCACTGTCGGCCAAGTTGGCTTTGATCAACAATGTCAAAAGATCTTTTGCGCCAGTTGATTGATTGCTGCCGCTATTCTTCTCCTCGGATATTGCCTGCTTGCGTTCGGCCACAATCTCGTTTCCGATTCTGTGGACGATGCCTCTGGATTTGGCATTGATACGGGTCCGAGTATCGAATGTGATCAGACGGAAGATGGGAATGAACATTTTGAGGAGTTGGAGAATCGAAAAGCCGTTGGTGGTCGCGTCGAGAGTACGAGAGAAAGCTTGTGCGAGGGGATCTTCATCATGGACCTCTGGTTCAGCTGAGTCGTGTCCTAAACAAGCGTCATCAATAGGTGCCCTTATTCTCATCTGATATGCATACCTTTAGAAGAATCTTTTTTGGTCGTCCTGCTTACCAGACCCTTGAGTGCATTGAATGAATAGTTGAAACCTGCCAAGCCGATGATGTCTAGGGT